TATATATATACGATGCCCTCTATTCTTATTTTCCACGGGACTAACTCCCCCTCAGATATGAGAGGCTTGCATCTTATGCATGTATACAAAATGCTGAAGTAAACAACTTTGACCTACTTGCACGTCACTTAGCTGTTCGAACAAAGCAACATAGTAAAATAGTGGCTAAAACTAATTAAAGATGCGATATATTTACTTTAAGTTATACAATTAAGCAATAGAAAAATTAACTTACACTCTAGTTTACCAAAGATTGAACGAAAAATGAAAAAATCGAAAGGCGAAACACAACTTTTCTCGACAGTGTTATAATAAAACTTATAAAATCATAACACGTGATATACACAATAAAAGCAGGTGAAAAGAGGCGGGAGTTACGAATAATCTTAAATTAATACTATTAAAAGTAGTGTTACAGTAGTAACATAACATGAATGCTGTATAAAAATTGATAACTACATGTACTCCTACTTCTATTTAGTGATAATGTTTTTCTTCTGTGGTCTTGGTTTCCAACATGCAATGGCACTTTTTACAAATATAATATTGTTGTAATTAATAAATTTGTTGGTAACAACATATAAACAGAATTGAACGGTACGCACTTATTTGTTCACCTAATGTCTTGAGTTTTGTTTTCTCTACATTGTTATGCAAGAAACGTGCCGTGTTAAATTTTTAGAATGCGTTGTCTTTGAAATCACAGGGGCGTTTCCAGGATATTAGAAAGAGGGGGCGTATAATATAATCTTTCGCCGAGCGGAGCGAGGCGAAAATGTTTTTGGACCTTTTTTTGGCTAAAAACATAAAATAATTGTGAAATGCACTAATGTAACGGTTCCTGACTTGGAGCATGTATATTCTATAGTTAAAGTGTCAGGGTTTGATATTTTTTATGCCAAATTCTCTCCATTAATTGTCTATGGTATATTAAAATGATTGGATGAATCTTAACAGCAGTAGACCAATAACGAGAAATTCCAAATTCTAGGGTATAGGGCGTTACTTTACATTTCAATAGTCCTAGGCCAGGATTTTATGAACGGGAGGCGTAATTCCGGTAGCCCTGGTATAGGGTCCATGGGGAAAGTCAGAAGCTCCTGGATTTCAACAATTTAGCATCAAATTATGAAGTATTATAACAAACTCCATGATAGACAAATTGGTGAAAATAGTCTGCCTTCGGATCATTCAAGTTATGTATTGATTAACATGTGGATATCAAATCTTTGGAAGAAGTTGTAAATTCAGTTAAAAGGTTATATGAAATGGGCATGAAAAATAAATCTTTAACGATAGCTTTTTCTGAACTTTTGATATATATATATATATATATATACCCGTTTTGTTAAAATATACCTTTTCACTGTTTTGGTCTTTTGGAAAATGTTGTTTGTGCTGTATTTAAACCCATTTACCAAGAAATTTGTTTTGCATGCACACGTTTAAAAATTGCGGTTTTTATCCAACGCAATCATAGGTTTGAACGTTGTTTTCAATTTAGTAGATATAAAAAGATGTGGTATGAGTGCCAATGAGACAACTCTCCATCCAAGTCACAATTTATAAAAGTAAACCATTATAGGTCAAAGTACGGTCTTCAACACGGAGCCTTGGCTCACACCGAACAGCAAGCTATAAAGGGCCCCAAAAATTCCTAGTGTAAAACCATTCAAACGGGAAAACCAACGGTCTAATCTATATAAGAAACGAGAAACACTTATGAAACAAACATCAACAAACGACAGCTACTGAATATCAGATTCCTGACTTAGGACAGGTGCAAACAGTTGCAGCGGGTTTAAACGTTTTAATGGTACCAAACATTCACCCTTATCTGAAACAATAGTGTAACATTGTATTTATAATACCCCGTTCTAGATAGTCAAATCTGACCCCTTCCAATGCAAGGCGAAAAAAACATAACCCCATTTCAGACAATTTAGCTGAAAATGCAACCCCGTTTGTCGGAACATACCCGGTATCATATATATAGCGAGTATCCCCCGGGTAGATGTAGAATGGCCATTGGGGAAGTGTCACACAAAACAACCATTTCATGTATTATAGATTTACTTACCGCTTTCGTAAAAAAGGTGTCCAAGTCAACCATCGGATGGGGGAATCAGTATAAAAAGACATCAGAGTATATATTTAATTAATGAATATGATAAATTGCCATATTCAATACACTATAAGCAGATAACGATATTTTTTTTTTTTTTTTTTTTGGAAAAGGGAGGGCGTACGCCCATTACGCCCTTACCTGGACCCGCCTCTGAATCATCACTGAATAGTTCAATATTCAATATCATCATTTTGTTTACTTTCTGTTCACATAATGATGGTTTTACTCTGTATAATCCATACAAGCGATTTTACTCTGTATAATCCATACAGACTATGTGATTTTCTCAAATGTAACTTGCAAACAAACTTAGTGACCTATCATTTTTATTTTATTTTTGAACATATCCCAATATATTCCACAGTTTGGCAAAGTATGCTTTTCTGGACTTAACCTCATCAGGAACGCTCGAAAATTAAAAAGCAGATGTATACATCATTAGGGAAAAAGTATGACCAAACGCGGCATAAACAGAATAGCCATAAACATGCTTCCGTCAAAAAAAAAAAAAAATGTTCATATTTTTGATGGCATGGCACTTGACAAGTTGAATTAGATTAGCTATTTATCCACAACTCATCTTAAAAATAACCTGGTTTTGATTTTCTTTTGAGGTAAGATCCGAATCAGAAACAGTTAAAAAACGAAAATAAAAGCGCACAACTTCCATCTTGACAAGAATCCTGAGAAAATGTAAAACGGCATTAATGTAGCAACAGCGAATTATATGGGCCACCCACTCTAACTTTTCGTTTCATACATATCTCATTGACATGACTTTTGTTATTATCATGATTTGAAAATGTATGTATGCTTTGCTCTTTGGGTTCTTATATCTTTGACACATTCCCCATTGCCATTCTCTATTCTAATATTTGCCGCTGGATGTGAAACAGTCTTCAATTAACGAATAGCACAGATTTAAATGACTAAACATGTTAATAAGCATCTATCAATTTTACCAGTAAAAATTGCATTTTGCAAAATTAACCTAAAACATATTCATTGAACAATGTCACAGCAGTGTTGAAAAATAAGATGCCAAAGCATTCTGCATAGTTTGTAAAATATCTAGTTGCATTGCATAAATGAAATTATAAGTAAAATTCCTATCACCTTTGATAAATAATACATTATTCAGATAATATATATATTTTTGTGCAGAATTTATTGTGAGCAATTCTGGTAAAGTAACTTTTTGTTCTAAAAAAAAAATCAGTTATATGCGTTATTAAATTTTTTCGTACACTAACAGTTATGCAATTTGTTGAATATCATTTGTTAAGAATATTTTTTTTACCAAATCCCGTACATTTCAAGGAATCAAATTTTGGTTTTGCATCAGAATGACTGCAAAGTAGTTTTTCAATGCTAAATTCCTTGAAATGTACGGGAAAACTCATTGGCATGGCAACCGTTGCCTAGCAACATTTTGGTGGGCATTTTTCTTACTTTTTCACCTGATTACATGGTAAGGCTAAGTTTATGGAAAATCGGTGACTATGCGTGCCGACTCCCCAAAATGTAATGGTTTGTGGTTACAGAGAATTGCTCTGAATAATTATAAATGTTTCGATTGCCTTTGTTCTCATCTTCTGGCTGGCAGAGAAGGCATCTTCGCTTTTTTCTAGTAAATTCTCAATATGAAGCTAGAAAAGTCCTTATATTCAGAACAAGGTGCCCTTTCTTGCACTTTTAATTTTTTTTTTAATTTTCTCTGTTCAGAAATGCTATGCCTATAAGGGCAAACGTTGAAATTACTCAATATGAATGAATGAAAAATGCATGGTTGAATTACTCAGTTTGTTCAGAAAGGTGCATAAACGTTTTATGATATTCAGTTGCTGAGATGCCCGGTTTTCTGCAAGTGTTACTTATATGTACATAAAATTTAAGTTGGTAAGCTGTATCTATACTAAGTAGTTTAACAGTAATTTCACATAAAAGTTCAGTGTTTTGAATACGGATACAAGATTTTTACTGAACAGCTAAAATATAAAATTCATCAGGGTTTACTTGGATTTTATTCACCCTGAACCAATCTAATAGTTGAAGTGTCTCAGATTCCAATGCTGAAATTTAAGGATTATAATCAAGACAACAGACGGAAAGGGTATTTTCAGCTGCATAATTGAAAAGGATTGAAAAGGAGGGTCAAACTACATTCTTGATGTCAGCCCAGCTACTAAGAACAGAGTTTGATTTTATCTGTTGCTCTCTATCTGATAAATATGACTTTAGAAGACAAACTGATTAGCCGAAACGCCGTATGCCAACAATTTTTCAAGCAAAATTTCATGTGGTAGGCAATCAAATGCCTTTGAAAGGTCCATAAAAACAGCAGCAAAGTAAAGGTTTTTATCAAGTGCGGAACTCGATCATATACCCAATGTTCAAGCAGTCTTAGTAGTGTGGTTTAAACATCCATGGCCAAAACGGAAAGCACAAAGATATGGATTTTAAAATAGTTTCAAAGTATTCACTCAGTTGTAGCTCAATAAAACCTTTCATTTTTTTGTTTGAAAAATAGGCAGGATACTGACTGGTCTGTAATTCAATTTATCTAACTGGCTATTTTTTTTTGGGGTAGCGGTGTAACTTGAAACTCTTTATGTACATGCCCACAATTAACCAGGAGCCTGTAATCTAGTAGTATGTATGTATACAGCAATATATATATATATATATATATATATATATATACGGTATTGGCTTTGCTCATTGTTGAAGGCCATAGAGTGACCTGTAATTGTTCACTTCTTGTCCTTTGGTCTTTAAGGGATAATCGTCTCATTGGCAATCAAACCACGTCTCTAAAAATGAAACTGACAATGGAGCAATTTATATTTTGCAGACGTCAACGAGTTATATATATAATTTGTTCATCATTTATTTCTAAATACATGAATTTCTTTTCACAAACATCTGTAGGTATTGAGGAGGCGAGCGAGTTAAACCAGGACTGATGTCTGTCAACCAACCATGCTAGTCGCTGTAAATACAAAGCAAAACATCATACAAGTGGTAGACATGCATGTTCTTATAGTGCCATTATAAGACTTCATGTAAAAATAAGGAGATGTGATATGATTGCAAATGAGACAACTATCCATTCAAATGTTCAAATGTAAGTCATGAACAATTCAGTATACTTACGATCAATCTCAGTCGTAAGTTATTTTGTGAAACCGACTCCTGAACACGACCAAAATTATACGTACCAGGGATAAATTTACAGAGGAGGACGACTGGACACACATTCGAGACGAAAATTATACGTACCAGGGATATATATTACAGAGAAGGACACCTGAACACGACCAAACTTATACGTACCAGTGATATATATTACAGTGGAGGACACCTGAACACGACCAAAGTATACCTACCATGGTTATATATTACAGAGGAGGACTCCTGAACACGACATATGTATACGTACCAGGGATATATATTACAGAGGAGGACGCCTGAACACGACCAAACTTATACGTACCAGGGATATATATTACAGATGAGGACGCATGAACACGACCAAACGTATACGGTCCAGGGTTATATATTACAGAAGAGGACGCAAGTACCAGGGATATATATTACAGAGGAGGACGCCTGAACACGACCAAACTTATATGTACCAGGGATATATAATACAGAGGAGGACGCCTGAACACGACCAAACGTATACGAACCAGGAATTTATATATTACAGAGGAGGACGCCTGAACATGACCAAACTTATACGTACCAGGGTTATATATCACAGAGGAGGACGTCTGAACACGACCAAACTTATACGTACCAGGGATATATATTACAGAAGAGGACGCTTGAACACGACCAAACGGATTACTAGCTGTACAAGTTACTAGTCCAGATTTAGTTATGTTTGGTAATGTAAGAGTTGAATGGTCTGCTGAAAGCTCAGCTTGGTATGTACTGCTAGTTGTTCCAACAAACTTAAAATATAAAAACTGATATAATTCTTCTAAGAATATCATGCTGAAATATTGTATACTACTCTTCTATACTGAAAACAATTGATTTAATTCGTTTCAAATATCATAAATATTGGTTATTGGATGTAATATTTATGTAATTTTATAGTTTTATACCTGTGCATGTTGACGCCAAGCTTTAATTTAAAATAATTTGTAGTCTACTAGTACCCATTTTACTTATTCACTTATGCAATAAAAACAAAATAGAGTAGACATTTTTACATTGGTAAACGTGGAATATCCATTTGTAATCTGAAAATTTTAACAGTGCAGCAAACATTTTTGATTCACTATAAAAGGAGGATCTTAATTCATCTTTATTTTCAAAATTTAAGAAACACGAAACCGAGAAAAATACCAGCATTCATGTATATACAACAATGCAATGTTTTCTACTCTTTATAAACAAAATAAATATTTTAGTATAACTTTACCGGTTTAAACTCCCAAGTTATTGTAGGAATAGGATCTCCCGACGCTCGACAGGTAAAGCTGGGAGGATTGTTTGGAGTCGCCATAACAGATTGTGGTGGCGTAGTTGTCAGACTCGGTGCAGCTTGAACATAGACAATAAAATTATATCTATGTAATACACCGGCTGGAAATCTTCATCATCACTTTTATTAAATGTTAAGGATCTGCTTTATCATGTTCAGGCTTGTGGGCCCTTTTTATAGTGTTTTCTTTATAATAAATGTGTAAATATCGTTATTGTCTGAAAATCTGACTTTCCTTGTTTGTTGCTGTCTTTGTCATTTATAAAAATGGAATAATTCCATACAGATAGATATTTATTTTTGGCTTATGTGATATGTGATGGGGAATAGTGCGTCATGGACAGATTTATTGTATCATCATTCTTGCGGAAGTTTTGAGATGGACCTGGTTCACTCATCGAAGTCCAAGATATAAACCACTGATGTGTATTAAAGGAAACTCGATCAGGGGCGATACTGAAAAGGAATTGTTTAATTAATTTTTTAATTTATTTTCAAATGTAAACAATTGTAGGGTCCGATTTGGATACTGATATTGATGATGCACAACAAAAGTTTTGTGTATGATATTTGATGTCCAAATGTGTCATTCGATGTCCAAATTAGTCATTCAATGTCCAAATTAATCGCATAATCTGTGTGCAAACAAACAAATACTATGTGTGAAAAATTATCGTAGTTAATAAATACTAGACTAATTGTAGCACGATATGGAACTTACTGCCGTGGACTATAAAAACTGCATCAGTCCTACTGATACCAACATCATTCGTTGCCTCACATGTATAAGCTCCCATTTCTGCTAACGTTGCATTCTGTATTTCGTGTTTATTTGCCTTTGTTGACAATGCTTTCTACCAAAATATGACGTGTATGACAACTTGATATCGTTACAGACAATTGTACCGGTCTGAATAGGAACATTTTTATATGTGGGCAATCATGGTAAGAGGGTCTGGATGGGGGAAGGAAAGGGGGGGTTCCTTCGTTTCTGTATTCTTTCATTTTTAGGCCTTTTTTTCTCTATTCTTTATACCTTTTGCCCATTGTTCTCTATTCTTTATATTTTAGCACCTCATTATTCTCTATCCTTTTCTTTTTGGTTCATTTTTCTCTATTCTTTATATTTTTTGCCCATTATTCTCTATTCTGTAAACCCCCATTCACACCCTCATGTAGTAGATTTTGATTATTAATTCTTTTCTAAAGCAAGTAAACACTACATGTATATATATATGAAATATAAGAAAAAAAGTAATTTTACCCTACATTTATATCTAATGAAAAAAATTGTAATTAAAAAAAAATCATTAACTGTGGACAGATTGAATAAAAATAACTACATGTGCACTATGGAAAAGACGATTCCAAAATTTGCAACAACTTGAACAAGAGCAATAATTGATTTCTGCGACTTATTCATAATAATAGGTTATACACATTCTAAGCATAATGTCTTTTTCAGCTCTTGTCTTTGCATTGCAAACAGATTGCACTTCCGTTTCTTCCAGAGAAGATTATCGAATTACATCACATTCGATAGAATTGTTTAAGCAATCTACAGGAAGTAAACATTGTAGCCTCTAAATGGAGCTATTTTAGTAAGTACGAGAAGTTACAATTGCATTTGCATTAAGGCCTTCCTTCAAAAAGATAATAGAAATAGACTTACGCCATTAAAATACCATTTTATAGTTGGTGTAGGATATCCTGTGACGTTACATGTTAGCGTTATAGTTGTACCGTATTTTCCCTGTAAACTTGGTGGTAGTGCAACTGTAGGTTTCACGTGAGCTGCGAAAAGGGTACATGTTATACTGCACAAACATTCAACTTCTTTATACTAATAATAATAACGGTACCAATGTCACCGCGCCAGATGCACATTTCGATAATTAATGTCTCTTAAGTGATGCTTGAGGCCAACAATATTTGAAAATCCAAGATTTATTCAAAAATAAAAGAAGTGACAAAAGCAAAAAGGACATTAAGTATAGTCAACGCTGGGCAAGGAACCAGAGCTGTGCATGAGGGAGATATATTCCTTATTTCAAAACAATCTACCAAACTTATAGCTTGTTTAAGTTGTCAATTCTATCTATATCTTTTGCAAAAGCCTGTTTTTACATAAAAATTGACAGCTGTTGAAACGGCAATGCCCTGGCTGAAGTCACGTTAAGGTCAAGGGACAGAAAATGGGTTATGTCACAGATTTTGGTAAAATTTTGCATATAACTTGGACTCGTTGAATTATATCTGAAAATCGAATAATAATACCTTTATCTTTTTTATTTCCTGAAATATTACTGATTAAATTCTTTCAAAATAGGTGAACATTTGTATAGGAAACACATGAAATCGACGAAAAACGTTCATAAATTTACCTTAAAATCATAAAACTTTCAATTTTTATTACATAGATTTTTCTTAAAAAACATTATGTTGTTGATACATAAAATTCCGTTTTAATGATATAAAATAATCATATGGTCACCGACTTCGTTTTTTGTGTATTAACCAATCAGTTACCTTTTTGGTAGTGAAAACGTCAAAAATAGACGTTTTACGGTCTACAACGCGATGATGTTACGATTATTTCGACGTTTTTTTGGTATTTTTTCACCTAGTACACCCCTTTGATTAATGTATACCGTAAAAACGTAGTCGGTGACCCTATCATTAGTTTACACTTTTAAAACGGAAATTTTTGTACCAACAACATATAATTTTTTATGAAAAATCTACGTAGTTAAAATTTAATGATTTAAAGACAAATTTAAGAAAGTTTTTCGCCGATTTCAAGTGCTTTTTATACAAATGGGCACCTATTTTGAAAGAATTCAATCAGTTATATTTCAGAAAAAAAGAGATAATGGCATTATTTTTTCGATTTTCAGATACAGTTCAACGATCCAAAGGTGTATGCAAAATTTTAAGAAAATCTGTGGCATAGCCCATTTACTGTAACTTGACCTATTAAACCGGTCAGATTTATACTAACAACTCTTCCATTTTCATATAATAATTTTTCCTTTAACATCACGTGAAAGTTATTTCCATGAAAATGGATTTTTTTTTCAAATTTAGATCTATACTCTATATATATATATTTATCACTCAATTATTTTCTTAGAAAGAATTGGATCCATTTACTCAATACAGTTCTTTGTTCCACGAGGGGCGTGACATGGGGTGCTCACTTCACAAATCCCACGGTTTTGTATTTTTCCTCAACTTCCTACTTTTTTCCCTTCTTTTCCCCCAAACCCCTTGGTTTAGAATAATGTATTCAGGGATCGGCATACTTGTAAGTACAGACGATACCCTTTTTACAGAGTACAAAATGCAAAATGACTGGTTAACTCGAAAAGAGTGTTTATACATCGTATTTATAATTTATCTAACTGACTTACGTTTTGGAAGTACTATTATATGAACAGGTTTAGAGGCTTTGCCTTCTGTGTTAGTAGCTGTACAAAGGTAGTAACGACTGTCATCTAGACGGATATTCCGGATTATCAGAAATTGTCGATACTGTATAGCATTGGATGGCATGCTGGACTAGAAAAAGAACATTCGACTAAAAGAACATGTTGGAAAAAGGGAGACAATCAACATAACATGTGTATATTTCAATGATTTGCACTTTTGGCAAATTGTATATTTTTAAGAATAAATCGGCCCCTTTGCTTATACGACAATGTAAGTATATTAATGCATCCTTCAATTGGCTTTCAGATATTTCGGTTTCAACATTTCTGATGAAAATTGATAGAAAAAACACTTCGGACTCACCGAATATATATATAAAGGCTTTGACATTGTGTCATTTTTATTTTCCATGTTATGAAATGTTTTAGGATAAATTTGTTATGTTGATAATATAGTCTGCTTCAACCTGTTTTCTGAATATGATCATACGTGTTCATATCTGGATGAAGAACATCTTGTGTTAACCTATTTAGTTCTTACTTCAATCACATTAGTTGTAACGTTTGCACCAAATGCATAGCCAAAATGTTTGACAAAATAGCGTGCAATGAATAGCACGTATAGCGATCATCTCGTTTTCTGATTTCTATTCGTCATCAACAAAAGGACATACTTATGATGCATTGATTTGGTACTGTCATTTTCAACCAAATAGACTCATTTTATTACTGGAGACATCTAAGGAAGTATACCAGAAAACCAGAATCAAGGTGTATGATGCAGCGAAGTGATTGTCGTTCTAGTCCTGTTATATCTCGGTGGTTTATAGTGTAAAAGGCCAACATCAAGAAGAAAGCTGCATTTCCTGAGTGCTATGTATCGTGTTTGTTATCGGAGATAAATTAATGTTATTTGTTTTTATGCCCCTGCCGTAAAGCGAAAGGGACATTAAGTGTTACCCTTGACCGTCCGTCCTTCTTTCGGTTCGTGCCTCCGTCCGCCCCAAAAATATTTTCACATATTATAAACAAACATGAGCGGGGGCATTCGTGTCCTCGGATACATTCTTCTTTTATTTGTTGTTGCTTTTGTTGGTTTTTTTTTTTTTTGCGGCATTAGCCTTTTGCTGTTTGTTGAATACAATGCTATTTGTTAACTTGTGCAGTTTCAGGTCCTTTAATCCCGGATGTAAAACTGTAAGATATTTCGTTCCTTTAAACCTAAACAGATAAATAAATAAACGAATATAAAGAAATAATAATCTGACATCAAACTAATTACCCACCCCTATAACTGACCACTTGATATTCGGATTTGGTATTCCGTCTGCAGCACATGGTATTGCGAGTATAGTGTCACCTTCAGTCACGTTACGTTCCGTGTATTTTAAGAAAACATCTGGTTTGATCCGCAATGGGATAGCAGGCGGTGTAGATATTGACACTGGTGCTTGGCTTGTTACTGAAAAGAAATACTGTTAAAGAACTTATAAAAGATTTCAGGCTTAAAATCTAGCACGCCAGATGTGCGTTTCGTCCACATAAGGCACATCGGTGGCGTTCGGGTCGGAACAGTCGAGATCAAACCAATTACAAGTTAAGGTGCTTTGAAAACAATATTATACAAAAAACATCATTACCGACTCCTTGACAATCACATGATATGTCATTGATATGTCCGTTTCTTGTAAGTCAACCGGTTATAAAATGTGAATTAAATAAAACACTAAGGTTTGTATATCTCAGGCATACATTGCTTAGCCGTATTTGGCACATTTTTTGAAATTTTCGGTTAGTAATGCTTTTACACTTTGTATTTGATTTGGCCTTTCAACTGTTTTCATTCGAGTGCTGCTGATGAGATGTCTGCTTCATTCAGACTTATGAAGACGAAACGCGCATCTAGCGTACCAAATTATTAGCCTTGTATGTTAAGTGATTTTTTTCTTCATGTAAAAGATTCCGTTCCAGAATTTTTAAACAGTACATTTTCAAGAGTCTTTCCTATACTGAATTCCAATGATTAAAGACAAAAGACAACAGTTCTAGAGACTACTTGGTAGAGTGCTTTTATACGCCTGTCATCGTGACTAAGTAATACAATAATTCTAGTAGTGTGACCAGATAATAGACAAAAGACAACAGTTCTTGAGACTATATGGTAGAGTGCCTTTATACGCCTGTCATCGTGACTAAGTAATACAATAATTCTAGTAGTGTGACCAGATAATAGACAAAAGACAACAGTTCTTGAGACTATATGGTAGAGTGCCTTTATACGCCTGTCATCGTAACTAAGTAATACAATAATTCTAGTAGTGTGACCAGATAATAGACAAAAGACAACAGTTCTTGAGACTATATGGTAGAGTGCCTTTATACGCCTGTCATCGTAACTAAGTAATACAATAATTCTAGTAGTGTGACCAGATAATAGACAAAAGACAACAGTTCTTGAGACTATATGGTAGAGTGCCTTTATACGCCTGTCATCGTGACTAAGTAATACAATAATTCTAGTAGTGTGACTAGATAATAGACAAAAGACAACAGTTCTTGAGACTACATGGTAGAGTATTTTTATACGCCTGTCGTCGTGACTAAGCCATGCAATAATTGTAGTAGTGTGACCAGGTAATAGACAAAATACAACAGTTCTTGAGACTACATGGTAGAGTGCCTTTATACGCCTGTCGTCGTGACTAAGCCATGCAATTATTCTAGTAGGGTGACCAGTAGAGTGCTTTTATATACGTTACTGATGCGTGTTTTTTGGACGAAACACGCGTCTGGCGTACACAATTTCAATCCTGGTACTAGGGAGTGTTTAACGGTCACACGGTCGGAATCCTGTTATTTATGATGAGCTTATTTATACGTCTGTCATCGTAACTTAACCATGCAGTAAGCATGAAAGTAGGCATACCGAGATAAAAATATGCAGATGATATTTAAATATCAGTCAATCATTTTCAAATCATAAATTTCAGTGAAATAAATGTAACCACAATCTTTTTTATTCTAAATATGATCCTTTATAAAACGAAAAAAACAAAAACAAAAACAAAAACAAAAACAACACATACACATACACAAGAAGATATATCATGTATATGTGATAAAGAGTGTAACCCGCCCATGGTCTGTAGTGTATCACCAGTGCTAAACATATCATCAACAAAACAACTATGGGTCAACTGTGAATTCACAAGAATGTTAAAAAAAAGTATGAAAAAAAAGAAGAAAAAAGGAAAAGTAAAGATCAGGTGCTGTCCCTGATGTTTACACGGCACCTTCCTATATTTCTTATGTATATTATTGTTGAATATATATGATTTATACTGACTTACTCCTTCCATACTTCACAATATATGTGTAAGTTGAAGTTCCTATAGAGTTGTGTGCCAAACAAATATATGATCCATGTAACTCTGGTACTATATTTCGTATTTCTAATTCTACATTTTCAAAGTGAAATCTGACATGGTTCTTGACTACTAGACTCTAAATAAACAAAATAAAAAAGATAATAAATAAATTTATATGAAATGAAATGGTTGCGCTTTATTTTATTGACCCCCCTTTTTTGTTCGCTTTAACCGAAAAAGAAAATTGTGATGACAATGAGATCGTTAAAACAATTTGAGCTATGGTACTGTACGTGTCTTTTATGTTTTTTATTTGGTTTTCTATACTATATCTTGGTGTTGACATTTTCAGTTACAATGACTTTTAAAAATCTATGCCCCTTGATAAATTTCTGTGAGGACCACTTCTTTTTCTAATTGGAATATATTTTTATTCTGATATCTGAGCTTCATTGTTAACGGAATATTTATTCACTTATGTTGAAACATTCCATATCATAGTTTTTACTGTTCATTGTTAATGCCGGCTGAATAGGTTTATGTTTCTAAATTTCAAATTTTGTTGTTTTGAACGTACCTCCTGAATGTTACTCTATAAATGCGCGTTTTAACTGATTGCGTGACGTCTAACTCTAAACACCTACATGTCTCGTTAGATTACCCGGAAGATGCCACGTGACCTGCGGTTTTGGATTGCCTTCCGGAACACATTTTAATCCTATATGGTCTCCATCGAGTACGAACACCTCACTGTTTTCTGATACAGGGAAATATGGACGTTTGCCGATATCTAAAAAAAACCGAGTTTTTTTAATTTTCTCTTTACATAGAAAAATTCTCAAATAACGTATAGATTGTATTATTTAACTTTTTAAGCCATTTTCTCTATTCTTTAGACTTTTTGCCCATTGTTCTCTGTTTTTTATATTTGAGCACCTCATTATTCTCAATTCTTTATGTTTTTGGTCCATTTTTCTCTTTTTGTTATATTTTTTGCCTATTATTCTCTATTCTGTAAACCCCGATCCACACCCTCATACATGTACAAGGCAAACACGCTTTGATCTAGTAAATAGAAGAGTTACAAAAACCAACATGGGAACACCAGCATTAAATGTAATGACGTCCTAAAATAGATAAATTTGATAGACACGCACTACATGTATGTGTGCTGGAATTAAAATGATGGTGCTGTACGTGTGTTTAATCATTTTATTCTTCGATGCATGATTTCTTGTATTAGTTGTTATTGGCTTTGAACAAGCTGTCAGTAAATGCGAGTACGCTCAGATTTGTACTTAGTGTCTTTTTGTTGTGGGAATGTATAAGTACCCTGCCACGCGTACGTCTACTCTGTGTTTTTGTTAGATGTATTTCTGCATTGTATCGATCTAATGAGTTAAGACCTGTTCAACTGATTTTTATAGTTTGCTCTTATGTTGTACTGTTACACCACTGTCCCAGGTTAGGGAAGGGTTGACGCGCCTTCAAACTAGTTTAACCTCGCCACATTCTGTATGTGCCTGTCCCAAGTCAGGAGCTTGTAATTCAGGGGTTGTCGTTTGTTGCTGTATATCACATTTGTTTTTCGTTCATTATTCTGTACATGAATCAGACCGTTAGTTTTCTCGTTTGGACTGTTTTACGTTTGTCATTTTGGGGCCTTTTATAGCTGACATTGCGGTAAGGGTTTTACTCATTGTTAAAGGCCGTCCGGTGACCTTTAGTTGTTAATTTCTGTGTCATTTAATCTCTTGTGGAGAGTTGTCTCATTGACATTTATACCACATCTTCTTATTTTTTATATTTACTGTATCAAACAATAAATAATTGGCCACAGATGTAGAGGTTTCGCACTGTAAAACCTGATGATTAAATATTTCGGCCAGTAATTATTCCATGTTAAGAATGTACCAGACTCAAGCTAGCGAACAATAAGCCAGCGAACAATAAGGTGCATCAAGCTAGCGAACAATAAGCCAGCGAACAATAAGAAAACGCGCCAACATGATCATGCCTAAAAACCGAAGACTTGCAATAACACAAAACGTCCTTTTAATTCTAATGACACTAATTTCCAGTAGGAGAACGAAATGCAATTCCATTTTAACACAGACAAAGTTAATTAGTTATTCGTGTATCTAATACAACTGTTTTTTAACCGGACATCTAAAATTCCTATTAGGTAATCCTTTCTCTTTTTAGTGCTCTCTGATTAGAGATGGGTTTGTTGTTTTTATAATAATGAAACAATTAATAACAATAGTTCACACTAAACTAGTGTACATGTAACGATACAAATAAATCTTCTACTTTACATATGCGTTTGAAAAGAAAAGAAAAATAAATCATCTGATTTTGGAACGTCCAGTATTTTTTGTTAGATTTTCTTTAGAAATAAAAGCATTATACGCAGTTTTCTTCTTTTGTCAAAGAACTAGTTCATTTTTCTAATTATTCCAAAGTATGTCGTCACTCTGGTAATGTATAATTTACTATATTTCGATAGGAAGAGTGATAAGTGTAAGAGAGGCACCCAAATAGAACGAAAAAAGAATTGACATAAAGATTTTGGTCCAAAGTTGGGGTAGGGTGACCCTACCACCACCCAATTTTAATTCATAAAAAGTCCCTACGGCAAAGCTTTTGTCCACACTAGGTACAAATGATAGGCAATTCCCTCAGGTTGCCTGGACCCAAAGACCCAGGTGGGTAAAGTTACGGAACTTTTTTAATTCAGGTCCAAAGTTGGGGTAGGGTGACCCTACCACCATCCAATTCTAATTCATAAAAAAGTCCCTACGGCAAAACTCTTGTCCACACTAGGTACAAATGATAAACAATTGCCTAAGGTTGCCTGGACCCAAAGACCCAGGTGAGTTAAGTTACGGAACTTGTTTAATTGAGGTCCAAAGTTGGGGTAGGGTGACCCTACCCCACCCAATTTTAATTCATATAAAAGTCACTACGGCAAAGCTTTTGTCCACACTAGGTACAAATGATAGGCAATTGCCTAAGGTTGCCAGGACCCAAAGACCCAGGTGGGTAAAGTTACGGAACTTTTTTAATTGAGGTCCAAAGTTGGGGTAGGGTGACCATACCACCACCAAATTTTAATTCATAAAAAAGTCCCTACGGCAAAGCTTTTGTCCACACTAGGTACAAATGATAAGCAATTGCCTAAGGTTGCCTGGACCCAAAGACCCAGGTGAGTAAAGTTACGGAACTTTTTTAATTGAGGTCCAAAGTTGGGGTAGGGTGACCCTACCACCACCGAATTTTAATTCATAAAAAAGTCCCTACGGCAAAGCTTTTGTCCACACTAGGTATAAATGATAGGCAATTGCCTAAGGTTGCCTGGACCCAAAGACCCAGGCGGGTAAAGTTACGGAACTTTAATAATTGAGGTCCAAAGTTGGGATATAGTGACCCAACCCCCTCCCTTCTTTAATTCATAAAAAATTTCCTACGGCAAAGCTTTTGTCCACGTTAGGTACAAATGATAGGCAATTGCCTAAGGTTGCCTGAACTCAAAGACACAGATGGGTAAAGTTACGGAACTATTGTTATTGATGTCCAAAGTTGGGGTAAGGTGACCCAACCCCCACCCAATTTTACTTCATAAAAAAGTCCCTGCGGCAAAGCTTTTGTCCACACTAGGTATAAATGATAGGCAATTGCCTAAGGTTGCCTGAACCCAAAGACCCAGGTGGGTAAAGTTACAGAACTTTTATTATTGAGGTCCAAAGTTGGGATAGGGTGACCCAACCCCCTCCCTTCTGCAATTCATAAAAAATTACCTACGGCAAAGCTTTTGTCCACGTTAGGTACATATGATAGGCAATTGCCTAAGGTTGCCTGGACCCAAAGACCCAGGAGGGTAAAGTTACGGAACTTTTGTAATTGAGGTCCAAAGTTGGGGTAAGGTGACCCTACCACCACCCAATTTTAATTCATAAAAAAGTCCCTACGGCAAAGCTTTTGTTCACACAAGACACAAATGATAGGCAATTGCCTAAGGTTGCCTGGACCCAAAGACCTAGGTAGGTAAAGTTATGGACTTTTATTATTGAGGTCCAAAGTTGGGATATGGTGACCCAACCCCCTCCCTTCTTTAATTCATAAAAAAGTCCCTCCGGCAAAGCTTTTGCCCACACTAGGTACAAATGATAGGCAATTGCCTAAGGTTGCCTGGACCCAACGACACAGGTGGGTAAAGTTACGGAATTTCTACAACTGAGGTCCAAAGTTGGGATATGGTGACCGTACCACCACCCAATTTTAATTCATAAAAAAGTCCCTACGGCAAAGCTTTTGTCCACACTAGGTATAAATGATAGGCAATTGCCTAAGGTTGCCTGAACCCAAAGACACAGATGGGTAAAGTTACGGAACTATTGCTATTGATGTCCAAAATTGGGGTAAGGTGACCCTACCACCACCCAATTTTAATTCATAAAAAAGTCCCTACGGCAAAGCTTTTGTTCACACTAGGCACAAATGATAGGCAATAGCCTAAGGTTGCCTGGACCCAAAGACCTAGGTGGGTAAAGTTAGGGACTTTTATTATTGAGGTCCAAAGTCGGGATATGGTGACCCAACCCCCTCCCTTCTTTAATTCATAAAAAAGTTCCTCCGGCAAAACTTTTGCCCACACTAGGTACAAATGATAGGCAATTGCCTAAGGTTGCCTGGACCCAACGACACAGGTGGGTAAAGTTACGGAATTTCTACAACTGAGGTCCAAAGTTGGGATATGGTGACCGTACCCACTCCCCCCTACTTTAGTTCATAAAAAAGTTCGTACGGCGAAACTTTTGTCCACACAAGGTACAAATAATAGGCAATTGCCTAAGGTTGCCTGGAACCAAAAGACCCAGGTGGGTAAAGTTACGGAACTTTTTTAATTGAGGTCCAAAGTAGGGATAGGGTGACCCAACCCCCTCCCTTCTTTAATTCATAAAAAAGTCCCTACGGCAAAGCTTTTGTCCACACTAGGAACAAATGATAGGCAATTGCCGAAGGTTGCCTGGACCCAAAGACCAAGGTGGGTAAAGTTACGAAACCTTTGAAATTGAGGTCTAAAGTTGGGGTAGGGTGACCCTACAACCACCAAATTTCAATTCATAAAAAAGTCCCTACGGTAAAGCTTTTGTCCACACTAGGAACAAATGATAAGCAATTGCCTAAGGTTGCCTGGACCCAAAGACCCAGGTGGGTAAAGTTACGGAACTTTTATATTTTCCAAAGTTGGGATAGGGTGACCCAACCCCCTCCCTTCTTCAATTCATAAAAAAATTCCTACGGCAAAGCTTTTGTCCACGTTAGGTACAAATGATAGGCAATTGCCTAAGGTTGCCTGGACCCAAAGACCCAGGTGGGTAAAGTTACGGAACTTTTGTAATTGAGGTCCAAAGTTGGGGTAAGGTGACCCTACCACCACCCAATTTTAATTCATAAAAACGTCCCAACGGCAAAGCTTTTGTTCACATTAGGCACAAATGATAGGCAATTGCCTAAGGTTGCCTGGACCCAAAGACCCAGGTGGGTAAAGTTACAGAACTTTTTAGATTGACGTCCAAAGTTGGGGTAGGGTGACCCTACCACCACCCAATTTTAATTCATAAAAAAGTCCCTACGGCAAAGCTTTTGTCCACACTAGGTATAAATGATAGGCAATTGCCTAAGGTTGCCTGAACCCAAAGACACAGATGGGTAAAGTTACGGAACTATTGTTATTGATGTCCAAAGTTGGGGTAGGGTGACCCAATCCCCACTTAATTTTAATTCATAAAAAAGTCCCTACGGCAAAGCTTTTGTTCACACTAGGCACAAATGATAGGCAATAGCCTAAGGTTGCCTGGACCAAAAGACCCAGTTGGGTAAAGTTACGGAACTTTTTTAATTGAGGTCCAAAGTTGGGGTAAGGTGACCCTACCACCACCCAATTTTAATTCATAAAAAAGTCCCAACGGCAAAGCTTTTGTTCACATTAGGCACAAATGATAGGCAATTGCCTAAGGTTGCCTGGACCCAAAGACCCAGGTGGGTAAAGTTACAGAACTTTTTAGATTGACGTCCAAAGTTGGGGTAGGGTGACCCTACCACCACCCAATTTTAATTCATAAAAAAGTCCCTACGGCAAAGCTTTTGTCCACACTAGGTATAAATGATAGGCAATTGCCTAAGGTTGCCTGAACCTAAAGACACAGATGGGTAAAGTTACGGAACTATTGTTATTGATGTCCAAAGTTGGGGTAGGGTGACCCAACCCCCACTCAATTTTAATTCATAAAAAAGTCCCTACGGCAAAGCTTTTGTCCACACTAGGTATAAATGATAGGCAATTGCCTAAGGTTGCCTGAACCCAAAGACACAGATGGGTAAAGTTACGGAACTATTGTTATTGATGTCCAAAGTTGGGGTAGGGAGACCCAACCCCCACCCAATTTTAATTCATAAAAAAGTCCCTACGGCAAAGCTTTTGTTCACACTAGGCACAAATGATAGGCAATAGCCTAAGGTTGCCTGGACCCAAAGACCTAGGTGGGTAAAGTTAGGGACTTTTATAATTGAGGTCCAAAGTTGGGATATGGTGACCCTACCACCACCCAATTTTAATTCATAAAAAATTTCCTACGGCAAAGCTTTTGTCCACGTTAGGTACAAATGATAGGCAATTGCCTAAGGTTGCCTAGACCCAAAGACCCAGGTGGGTAAAGTTACGGAACTTTTGTAATTGAGGTCCAAAGTTGGGGTAAGGTGACCCTACCACCACCCAATTTTAATTCATAAAAAAGTCCCAACGGCAAAGCTTTTGTTCACACTAGGCACAAATGATAGGCAATTGCCTAAGGTTGCCTGGACCCAAAGACCCAGGTGGGTAAAGTTACGGAACTTTTGTAATTGAGGTCCAAAGTTGGGGTAAGGTGACCCTACCACCACCCAATTTTAATTCAGAAAAAAGTCCCAACGGCAAAGCTTTTGTTCACACTAGGCACAAATGATAGGCAATTGCCTAAGGTTGCCTGGACCCAAAGACCTATGTGGGTAAAGTTACGGACTTTTATTATTGAGGTCCAAAAATGGGATATGGTGACCCAACCCCCTCCCTTCTTTAATTCATAAAAAAGTCCCTCCGGCAAATCTTTTGCCCACACTAGGTAAAAATGATAGGCAATCGCCTAAAGTTGCCTGGACCCAACGACACAGGTGGGTAAAGTTACGGAATTTCTACAACTGAGGTCCAAAGTTGGGATATGGTGACCGTACCCCCCCCCCCCCCCCCCCCCCCCCCCACCCCCTATCCCCCTACTTCAATTCATAAAAAAGTCCGTACGGCAAAACTTTTGTCCACACTAGGCACAAATGATAGGCAATTGCCTAAGGTTACCTGGACCTAAAGACCCAGGTGGGTAAAGTTACGGAACTTTTTTAATTGAGGTCCAAATTTGGGGAAGGGTGACCCTACCACCACCCAATTTTAATTCATAAAAAATTCCTACGGCAAAGCTTTTGTTTACGTTAGGTACAAATGATAGGCAATTGCCTAAGGTTGCCTGGACCCAAAGACCCAGGTGGGTAAAGTTACGGAACTTTTGTAATTGAGGTCCAAAATTGGGGTAAGGTGACCCTACCACCACCCAATTTTAATTCATAAAAAAGTCCCAACGGCAAAGCTTTTGTTCACACTAGGCACAAATGATAGGCAATTGCCTAAGGTTGCCTGGACTCAAAGACCCAGGTGGGTAAAGTTACGGAACTTTTTAGATTGACGTCCAAAGTTGGGGTAGGGAGACCCAACCCCCACCCAATTTTAATTCATAAAAAAGTCCCTACGGCAAAGCTTTTGTCCACACTAGGCAAAAATGATAGGCAATTGCATAAGGTTGCCTGGGCTCAAAGACCCAGGTGGGTAAAGTTACGGAACTTTTATAATTGAGGTCCAAAGTTGGGATATGGTGACCCTACCACCACCCAATTTTAATTCATAAAAAATTTCCTACGGCAAAGCTTTTGTCCACGTTAGGTACAAATGATAGGCAATTGCCCAAGGTTGCCTGGACTCAAAGACCCAGGTGGGTAAAGTTACGGAACTTTTTAAATTGAGGTCCAAAGTTGGGGTAGGGTGACCTACCACCACCAAATTTTAATTCATAAAAAAGTCCCTACGGCAAAGCGTTTTTCCACACTAGGTACAAATGATAGGCAATTGCCTAAGGTTGCCTGGACCTAAAGACCCAGGTGGGTAAAGTTACAGAACTTTTTAGATTGAGGTCCAAAGTTGGGGTAGGGTGACCCAACCCCCACCCAATTTTAATTCATAAAATAGTCCCTACGGCAAAGCTTTTGTCCACACTAGGTATAAATGATAGGCAATTGCCTAAGGTTGCCTGGACCCAAAGACCCAGGCGGGTAAAGTTACGGAACTTTTATAATTGAGGTCCAAAGTTGGGATATAGTGACCCAACCCCCTCCCTTCTTTAATTCATAAAAAATTTCCTACGGCAAAGTTTTTGTCCACGCTAGGTACAAATGATAGGCAATTGCCTAAGGTTGCCTGAACCCAAAGACCAAGGTGGGTAAAGTTACGGAACTCCTACAACTTAGGTCCAAAGTTTGTAGACCGTATCTCCCAACTTGAATTCTTAAAAAATTTCTCACGGCAAAGCATTTGTCCACTCTAGTAACAAATGATATTAATTGCCTAAGGATGCCTGGACCCGAAGAACCCGCAGGTGGGTAAAGTTCCGGAACTTCTACAACTGATTTCACATTTGGGGTTTGCACACCCTATCACATGTCAAGTTTAATTTTGATTTGGGATATTTTTTTTGTCACTTAACACTTTGATCTGGAGGGTTTCGGGAATGAGCGGGGAGCGAGGCGTAGCCGAGCTAGGCGCGATTGGAAGAACCCTCCCTACGGCGCATGCGCATTCAATTCTTCACTAATTGGGGTAGAGCAGACCCCATGGTACCACTGGTCAGCAATAGACTGCCTACGCAGCACCCACCCAGGGCAATGGAGATGAACTTATCCAATCGGTTGTAGATCTTCAACGCATGCTCATACCTCCGGATTTCTGCAGTGAGCTCCTCTTCCATGCATTCGATATGACTGGAATCTACTTGATCCATTTATTTATAGGAGCATACCGAGGAGGGGAATATTTTTGAAGGGGCTGTTAGCACCTAAGATCAGACCGGCTCCCTCGTGGAAATGCTGACCACGCTTCAAGTAAAGTCCATCACCATAGGTGATCCGGGCGTTTGAGGGTTTGCGGTAGAGACCGTTGCCACTAGGTTTCACGGTGCAAACGCATCCACCACGTTTCAAGTACAATCCAGACCCTAAGGCCTTGTTGACGGCTACACCACCCAGACCACTCAAGGCTCCAACACCTAAGGCGGGTAGAATGGTTTTTGCTAACATGGGAAGTGCCCTCATTGCCAGCCCCGCCAACATGGGTAGGAAGCCACCTACCTTCTGCATGTTTTCCTTCAATAGGGTCGCACTTAGCTCTAGGACCATGCCACCAGTACCCTTCTGTAGAAGCTTGGCGATCTTTTGAACCTGGCGGATGGTGAGCCACATCTTGTGTTCGCCTTGCAGGTTTGCGTGGGACAAACGAATGGAGACCGGACAACCTTTCTTGGCAGCCCGTTGTAGTTTATCAGTTTAAACCATGTTCGTGATTTATTTATACCTCACGAAGATGAAAGCGGATGGTGAGATGTTAACCCCTGAAATCGATGGGCCTACCGTCTTGATCGGTGAGATACGTTTGCATGCGATTGATGGTTCGCAAGGTCACTGGCAAGTATACTAGATTCTTAGGGGTTTGAATGATCTTCATACCAGGACCGTCTACGGGAAAGAAGCTGTAGATGGTAGACTGCTGTGTACCATTCACATAACTTCCATGGATGATATCACTATTCACCAGAATGCTGTTGATGCTGATGATATTTACAATGTGTTCCCCTTCAGTATAGCCGTTTGTGATCATATCGAACATGTAAATCTGCCGCTCGAATCCCAAGACGGTGCTGATGCTATTGACAACGTTGAAGTCTACTTGATAGTGTCTGGCGAGGGTCAGCGTTGCTCTTATGGTCGCCCGGTTGGCATCGATGATGATCTTCGTTTTGTGTTTGTTGAGCCGTAGCCGCCGCTGGATCTCATTGTTGATGTCTTCGATGTCATAGGAACCTGTGCTCAGTGCGATAGGAAACCAGTTGGCACCATCGTCGGGGGAGTAGCGGAAGGAATTGTTACCTGTATGAATGTTGGGGATGGAGTTATAGGTTTCCAGGTTCACCAATGCCATTTCGTAGGTCTTGGATTCCTTGAGATGTAGTGGGGGGTTGAACCGGGTAAGGATTTGGCTATCGTTTCTAGAGACGATGAAGGAAAACCCATGCTTTGGTTCGGTATTATCAACAATTTGCTGCAACAATGTGTTGTCCATTTATTTATGGTAGACCATTGTCACATATTTTTGCGTCCACTTTTCGATACCGTCATACTGCTCCTTGAGTTGTTTACCAGCCTTCACTACGATCGCATAGACTTCGGCGGGGCGACTGGTAAAGAGGAGTTGTAGGTGAATTTTATCCATTTACTCTTTAGTACACGACGTTCATCTTCTGACCATCGGATTCAAACTGCAGGATTCTGTCGGAAATAACAAGTGCAAACGCCTCGGTGTTGGCTAAAACATTGCGGGCGAATTCGGCCCGGATCTGAATGTCTACCGTAGATTCTTTGAGACGCTCAGACTGATGACTCACATCGATTACAAACAAGGAGTACAAGTCGATGTAATCGGAGGGATTAATACCACCATTACTGAGGAGACTGTCCATGTTGTGGAATTTCTTTCTGAAGTCAGAGGCCTCTTTGAACACTCTGGCGATCCTATTTTCGTTGAAAACTGCATTATAGTCGACTGCCGGATAACGTTCAGCGTTGAGGGTGACATGGATATTTCGCAATCGACAGTGATCGAAAACGGAAGCATTATGGGTTTGGTCGGTTTGGAAGGCAACAATGATATATCTAGGCTTTTCGCGACCACTCTTGGCAGCTAGGCGCCAGTTAAACTGTGAGGCTTGGGGAACGGCTAGGGAATCACACTGTCTCATGCGAAATCCACAGTGGATCTTGGATTTACTTTGGATGGTTTTGTACAGTTGCATCTTATTTTCGTCTGAGGGGGTGACGTGAGGGACGAACCACGATAGTTTACTCAGGACAATCTTTGCCGGATCGTTGACTGCAGCTGTTCTCAGAATGGCATTAGCATTTGAATCGCGAACGAGTGAGAGTTCGTGCCTGAACCCGTACACTATTTTGTTGTAATCATCTGCGAATCCAAAAATATGTTTTAGGGGGATGGCAAACGAAAACGATCCTTTGTTGGTGGGCTTGGTGATAATGTTTCCATGGCGGGCTGCAAATCCAGTGTTCTCAGCCTCAGCATCGGTGGAAGAATCACAGTTGGTTGAGACCCTGCGATTTGGAGAAGTCGTCGGGGTAGGTTAACATTCCGAGCATAGTGGTGGCGATGCCGGGGTCGTTAATATGTTCGATCTGCTGACCGGAAAGCCTGTAACTGATGCTCTTGAAGAGATACATGATACCATTATGGGTGAGCGACACAAGATCGCCATCGGCATATGCTGTGTCATCATTCTTGAGAAGTCGACCTTCCACCACGAGATAACTCTCGGCGGGGTGTAGGAACAAACTTGCGTTTCGATGTTGATTCGGATTTCAGCACCGGCATTGTTCAGCTGGGCACCGGCTTGTGGTTCGTATTCTCGAACCTGATATTCCTGGAGACTTTCGTCGAAGGTCAATCCTTCGGTGATTGTAAGAATGTTAGACATAATGTATTTATTTATAGCGTTGGACGAAGTCGTGAATTCCCGATCATGTAGGTGTTGTCTTCCACCCTCAATCAGAATGTATGGTCAGCCTCCAGAGTCGTACTGAGTTTGAGGTTTTGCTGAGCTAAGGGTCCAAGTACGGTGTCTGTGGCAAATACAATGGGTAGCGGATCAGCAAACTCGGCTGGTGGGGGAGGAAGGGCTGGCACCGCTGCAGGAAGATCTTCAATCGTCTTGGTAATCTTTGAAGCCGCTTCCCGCTGAGCCTCAATCACAGGCTTAAACACCTTGGAAAGGTCTCGGCTGAGTCCAATCTTGTCGAGACGATGCTGCATATTACTGGCTTGAATCTTCCGCTTAGTGTCTTGCAACTCCCTGGCAAGTGCCTCACGCTGCTTAGGGTCGGTAATCTTGATAAACGTCATTTATTTATAGGATCGAACGCTGTTGAACGCCCCTAAGCGTTGGATTAAACGCCCCTAAGCGTTGAATCGAACGCCCATAAGCGTTGGTTTGAACGCCCCTAAGCGTTGGTGTGAACGTTCCATAGCGTTGGTTCGATCGCCCCTAAGCGTTGGGTCGATCGCCCTTAAGCGTTCGGAGAAACGCTCCCAAGCGCCTGGGGGAAGGTTCAGACGCCTTTCCCAATCGCTAGGAGTATCGACCGTATCCACTACGGCCCCTTTTTCTTTGCAAGATTAAAGTGTCTACCCCATAGGTCTTTACTAGGGCGGCATGGGTATGTGCACTGATGGCATCGAATCGTCTTGGTAGGGCATTGGGGTTGAGGAAAGCGCTCCACCTTACCATACAGACGGCCAGAGTTCCATGCGTCGAAATCACCTCCACTGCTATCGATCGGGCGGATGATTGTTACACTGCATTTCCAACACATACTTGTCATATCGACTGAGTCCCAATCGTGCTTGCATTCAGGGGGTCGTCGTGAGGGCTTGGGAGCATTCTCAAACTCCCGATCCAAGTCCCGTTGATTCTCCAGGAAAAATTCCTGCAAGTGATCCTTTTTGTTTTTATTTTATAACTCATAGAACTCATCTAATTTGCATCGGTATTTACCTGCTGACTTGGGGCTTGTGAGATCGATGGTTACAAATCCATAGGGTTGGGACCAGCAATGCTTACACAGAGCGTCAAATTGTTCCTTGGTAAGGTCGTTGCAGTGATCGCGCCAAATATGGTCGAGATTCTTTGCGTCCTGCTGGAAGAGGCAGAGGAAGTTTGCATTTTCTCGGATCGATTGTCAGGGTAGTTTGAAGTAGTTCTGACAAAGGTAGAAACAATCGACGTTGTTGTGGCGACCGCGCACGTAGTAGTCTTCACACGTGTTCTGTTTGCTCAGCATCAAGTCGTCGAACACCATGAGGTTTTTGCGGCTCGGATCGAGTTCCCGGGGGTCTAGTACATCGCTCCCTTGCTCGAAGAAAAAAGTGTCGATACCACTCGGGTGTCGTGGTGGTGGTAAGGCGTCGACCACATCGATCAACGAGTAGGGTGACTTGCTATTGCACTGTAGGAGGTCTCGAATATCTTCCTTAGGGAAGCCTTTTCCCAGCGCTTGCTGCAACAGCTGGTAGATGGGCTGGTG